TTCCATGAGCTAGGTCTTATTTTTGGAGGATGTCTTATTTTCGGGGAAACACACTAGTTGCCTGTGCTGGGCTTAGAGATGCCTAGGAGAGGCTCAGCTGTGAACCAACGCCAGCTGCCATTAGTGATGGATTGGTGGCTGCTTAGCAAGATGCACAGGGCATGCTGAAAGGTTTGTATACCTTTCAGAGATTTTAGGGAAAACCACAGTGTGGGCTGAAGCCTGAAAGAGGTTAGGGCCTGTGCACAAGTTGTGTGGGATGGGTTCTCAGGGAATCAACAGGGTTGGATGAGTTAGATGGAGACACAGATTTGGTACCTGCATATCCTGGAGACTCTGTGGGAGGGGAAGGCTCAACAAAGGTACAAATTGGCAGAGAGTGCTTCCCCTTTAGACCTTGCTTTAAAGCCAGACAGTTGAGTCCCTCCCTGCATGTCCCTGATGCCTTTGGGGCTGCTGCCCAGTGCTGGGGCTCAGATCGAATGAACTCTTCAGGAAGTAAGTCCAGAGGAGGGCCCTTTAAGAGGATGCCTAGGACTCCAGCAGCCCTCCCTCTCACCTGGATGGAATCCTTGCTGGTTTTATAGCCAGATGTGGGGACTTCTCTTCCCAGCACTGGTGGTCCAGGCTGGGGAGCCCAGTGTGGAGCTGGAACTGCTCACTCCTCGGGGACATCTGCAGCCGAGATATCCTGATTCTTAACTGACACTCCTGAGTGTGGAACCAGTCCATCTTATCTCCATCCCTCCTACCAGTGTCCAAGGGGCTTCTTTTTTGTATCCTTAGTTATAAGAGTTTTCTGTTCAGCTCGTCTTCAGGTGGTTCTCAATGGTGGTTATTCTATAATTTACTTGTAATGTTGATGTCATCATGGGAGTAGGTGAGCACAGCATACGTATTCCTCCATCTTCCTTGCACATCTTACAGACAGAAAAGATGACAAGCCCCCCTCCTTCGTGACTAGTTTCTCTTGCTGCTGTGCACTGGGCTATCTCTGCTTTTTAAAAACTTGTCGCCAAGCATATGTTTGTTAACTTAATTTTTAAAAGTAATTACCTGTATTTTTTTAAAAAATATTTTTTTATTGATTTCAGAGAGGGAGAAAGAGGTAGAAACATCAGTGATGAGAATCATTGATTGTCTGCCTCCCCCATGGCCCACACTAGGGATCGAGCCCAAAACCTGGGCATATGACCTGATTGGGAATTGAACCATGACCTCCTGGTTCATAGGTCAACGTTCAATCACTGAGCCACACTGGCGGGCCATGTTTATCAATTTTAGAGACAGAGGTGTTTGATGAGCCCTAGCTGCAAATTCAGCTTGAGAGGGGGAGAGAGGGGTAAGGGGAGAAAGAAACATTGATGTGAGAAAGAGAGATCAATGTATGGGAGAGATCTGCCTCCCATACACGCCCCAACCAGGGATCGAAACCTCAACCTAGGTATGTGCCCTGGCCTGACAAGGAATCTGCAGCCTTTTGATGTACAAAACAATGCTCCAACCAACCAAGCTATCTGGCCAGGATTCTGCTTTCTTACAGTAAAATTCCAACTAACAAATACAGAAAGAATTATGGAAGTGGATAATCACCATTTGGCAAACACCACAGTGCTAACTGTCAGAAAGTGTCATTGACAGCTGCTGCCCTTGGAGCTGGCAGACAGCAGCTGGCACTGCCCCCTGGGTGGAGAGGCCTTCCTCCGCATGAAAGAAACTGCACAAGTACTGTCCAGCTGTCTGCCACTTGGGCTCCTAGGCAATTATCTCGGCAGCAGGGCAGAGAAGGGGAGTCGTGAAGGAAAATCTCAGGGTGCGAGGTTGGCTGGTGCTGCTACTGGGCCGGTCAGGATTGGGGTGGATCTGTGGAGGGCAGGATGATTGACTGGAGAGCAGGGGGGTAACCTAGGCCTATCTGGCCGGGCTCAGCCCTTCCTGGAACTCCCTAATACTAACCCTGTAACCTTGACTGACTTCCCCTGACTGGAATCTGCCCAGTTATAGGAAAGAGGCCCAGCCTTTCCTGGGAAGATGCCCCACTGAGTTCCAGGGAAACGAGGTTGCAAAGGCTCTGAGCTCCCACCTGTATACCGCGGAGTACACTGAGCTCAACAGGAAACAGATGGGTGGAAATTTCAAAAGAAGATGAGACAAGTTGAACAGAAAAATAAATAATGATGTTCATGGAATGAAATGGACACCCATGAGTCCATACTGAGAGAAATGAATGAATAAATAAATAAGGAGAAAGGTCAACTCTTAGAGAAAAATTACAATTAATAAATGTAGAAAGAATGAAGGAAAGAGAGAATCACCATTTGGCAAATATAGCATTACTAATTGTCAGAAAGCGTCATGACAGATGTTAAAGTTAGTGGGCAATAGTATGTTTAAGAAGTAGGATATTTGTGTAGTTTCCAATTATCTCCCCACAAGATGCCTAGTAATTACAAATGAATAAATAGTAATTTCACTGGGGAAAATCCTAGCAGCCTGCCCTGACCAGTTTGGCTCAGTGGATAGAACGTCAGCCTGCGGACTAAAGGGTCCCGGGTTGGATTCCAGTTAAGGGCATGTACCTTGGTTGTGGACACATCCCCAGTAAGGGTTGTGCAGGAAGCAGCTGATCGATGTTTCTCTCTTATTGATGTTTCTCTCTCTCTATCCCTCTCCCTTCCTCTCTGTAAAAAAAATCAATAAAATACATTTTAAGAAAAGAAAATCCTGGTAGGCACCATGTTACCAAGTGATCAAAGTTAGCATCATCACTCTTGAGACACTGAAATCGTGTACCTCCATATGACCCACTGAGAAGGACACAACATCACTTCTGTGGTGGGCCTGCCTGAGTGCATGTCCTCAATCTAATTATGAAAAGGCATCAGACCAAAACTCAGGGTCACTCTACAGCTCTCTTAAAAACTGTCCAGGTTATGAAAGATGAAGCAAGACCGAGGAACTGTCATGGAATGGAGAGATTAAGTAGATGCAGCCACCAAATGCAATATGAGATTCTGCTTTAGATCCTATACCAGAGAAAGGACATAAGTGGGACAGTTAAATATTTTAAGCTTCAGTTAAATATTTTATCCTTTGTTCTCTTTGTGTGATCTACAATAATAGTCTGCTTCATGTTGATATTTACTGCTGTGTTGCTAACAATCACCTGAAAGAGAAGTTGGGGTGCTTCACTGGGCTGGAAAAGGCTTAGCTAAATCAGAAAGCAGATATTAAAAAGCCCCATTCGCAGGCTTGTGTTTCAATCTGATATTGTCCATCATGAATTTGGTTGACACTTCTATTATAAAGGGCAAAAAGCAATATTAAAACATTTCTCCTAATTAATTTCCTTTCCATGTGCATGAATTCGTGCACTGGGCACAAGTTTTGAAATAAAAAAGTTATAAAAGGGAGTAAGGGTATGAGGAAAAGAGCCCAGGTTCTAGAACTTGGCCGTTTCCCAGAATGGAATCAGGACTCTGTGGCTTTTGTTAGGCAGCTCCCTGGACCTTATTCTCCCTATTGATATCTGGCATTTGGATTAGAGACTTGGAAGCCCACCCACTTGGAAGGTCCCTCCTCGCCATCCCAGGCTTGCCCTCCACTCTATGTGGCCTGTGGGTTCCAGAGAAAAGCAAATGTCGAGGTCCTTGTGCACCTCTCTGGGAACAGGAACTTTCATCATGCCTGTCTGAGGAAGGCACAGAAAGGGAGTCAAGAAGGAAAAGCTCAGGGTGTGAGGTTGGCTGGTGTGCAGCGGGGCCGGTCAGGATTGGGGTGGATCTGTGAAGGGCAGGATGACTGACTGGACATCAGTGGGGTGCCCTGGGCCTCCCTGGCCAAGCTCATCCATTCCTAGAGTTCCCTGCTCTTGGAAGGCCCTAATCCTAACCCTAACCTGACCCTAACTCTAATCCTAACTCTGGAGCCTTGATTGACTTCCCCTGATTGGAACCTGCCACTCAAACTCAAACACTGATGTGGAGTCTCATGAGCAAGATGGGCCAGAGTGTCATCTTCCCTAAAGACAGAGATGCCAGCAAGGGAGAGACAGGGGAAGGTGCCGTCATATTTGAATCTTCTTCCCTTGGGATACAGGACACCAAGCCATGGTTTTTATTCAGGAACCACTTATCGAGCTGCTAGTTCTATCCAGGACTTTGAAGGGCAGATAGGATCTGGGCAGGAAGTGACTCTGCAAAAAGGGCGAGCCCAGTGGATAAAACAGCAATCCCAGAGGGGAAGGGATGCCAGCCATGACGATTCTACACCATATCCAGTCGGTGTCCATGGTTCCTCAAGCACAGTGATGCTTGCTACGTGGCTGAGGGGAGAGCTCCATCTTGTAGGACACCGGGAGGAAGGCCTGACCGGACCCTCTGCATCCGTTCTTTTCTTTTGTGACAGTGCACCACAGGAGGCACTCCCAGGAATACAGACTGTGTGTGTGTGTGTGTGTGTGTGTTGTGTACACACACGCAAGAGGAAGGTAAGGACAAACACATGCGGTCACACAGGTCATGCTCCTCACAGCATCAGGGCCTCTGGGATCAGACATCCTGTTCTGTCACCATCTAGTGGCCAGCTGCTGAGACCAAAGCCCTTCTGAAAATGCAGCCTCTTTAGCCCCCAAACCCACTGCTAAGCAGGCACTGGGATGAGCCTTGAGTTGAGTAGATAGATCATTTGGGGTCTGTATAACCCAGAGATCCCTCTTTCACAGGCCATGGTTCCTCCATCCCTTGTCCCCAGTTTGGAAGCTGCTGGGGATCTTCCAAAGAGCTGTGGTTGGAGTCACATTTTCCCCCAAAATAATTAGACTGTTTTTGCCAGCGGGGGCGGGGGAGGGGGGGCGGCGGGTGGTGGCAGGCAGGGGTGGATACCTCTTCCTGGGGGAGGGTGGGGGCCGGTCATCTGAGCTTGACTTGTTTTCGATGAGAACAGTTTGTGGCTGTGGGGGGAGGTGGGGCTCAGGGTGAGTGAAGGAGGATGTATAAAGGATGTTGCCCAGAGAGGGGAAGAGCTTGGGAAGAGGAACACGCCCTCTGCACTTCCCTGAGGAAGGACCCGGCGCTGCTGCTCTCCTCCTGTGCACTGGCTGCACCTCCCAGGCAGGTGGGTCTGGCTCCAGTATGGCCACTTCCAGCGTGGGGTGGGCCCTGCCCAGGGATTACAGAGAGAGTCTGGATCCAGTGGCCTGGAGCTTGGGGAGGGGAATGTGTGGGGAGAGGGAGGTCACTGTGGAGCTTTCTCTTTAGGGCAACTTTTGGGGCAATTGCCCCAGCAGCTGGAGAGTGTAGCCTGCTGGCCCCTTCCTTGGTTGACTCCGGCTCTGAGAATCTGCTTTGTGGATTCTGAAAATCCCTGATAGTTGGCTAGGGGACTTCAGGCACTCCCCTTCCTCTCTGGGCCTCGGCTTTCCCAGCGTATTTGATGAGGGCAGATGAGGTCGTCTTGAAGGGTCCCTCCCTCCCAGGGTAGAGGTTCTCCAGCTCTGTGTTCTTTTACACACATCCACGCTCTCTCCTTGTGCTCCCCATCCTCTCATGACCATCCCCTCCAAGTTCTCAGCCCCTCCTTCTGCCCCAAACAGTCCCAGGACTCCCCCTGGTCCATCCCATACAGAGCCAAGTGCCATTTTAGGGCCTGGAAGGGAACCAATAGTTATGGGCCGTGCACTCCTTTCATTATTATAAAAATTCCACCAAAGGAGGCATTTTGTAGGTGAGAAAACTATGGCTCAGTCATTTTCCCAGGGTTACTCAGCCATTAAGAAGTGGACCAACCTGTCCTTCCATGCTGTCCCCTGCTGAGTGTCCCACCTCCCTGGGGGTGTTGGTTGTGTTTCATTTTGAACCAGCACAATGCTGAACTATGCATCCAAGGAGCTCTAGTGGTAGAATTTCAGGCAATAGTGATGGCAAAAAAAAAAAAAAAAAAAAAGAAAAAGAAAAAGAAAAGCAAGAACAGTTGGTTGAGGAAAGATAACAAAATGTTTCTTTTACTGCAAGCAGCTCCCTGAACAGTCAGGCTCTAAAACTGGTTTCATTATCTGAAGTAAGCCTTGGGAAGGAGGAGTTGCCTGTAATTTATCAGTGTCACAACCATTTCCTGATAGGAACCAGGAAAACAGGGCATGATGTGGGGTCCCAGGGAGCATGGGGAACAGGCGGGGCTCATCTTCCAGGGAGCAGGGGGCCCCTCTGCTGGAAAGGGGACAATCCACCCACTTCCAGCTAGACTCTGTGATTCTACACAGCTGGGGAGGTTTGGTGCAGCAGAAAACTGATGAGATATACCCAAACATTTCCAAGGTTATTTCAGAATGGGGTGGGGGGTGGGGGTAGGGGTGGGGGAATGTAAGATTATGGGGCATATTTTTTTCTTGTAGTTTCATGTTTTATATTGAGCCTATATTACTATTGTATTCAGGAAAGATACACGGTAAAAAAGAAAGAGAGAAAGAGAGTGTGGGGTCAGTGGTCCAGGACTCAGTCAGTGGTCAGGGTTAGAGTCAGCTCTGCTAGCTTGCGGTGTACCCCCTGGAAGATGAAATAGAGTGGGGAGGGGCCGGAGACCGGGATGCCAGGACACAGGCTTTATTGAAGAGAAGAGTACCACTGCCGGCTGCCTTCTGGAGAAAGAGAGCAAGGGTCAGGGTTCATACACTTTTTAAGGGGAGGGGGCTTAGGGCACTTAGCACATGTAAGGCCTATGATTAGGGACCTAGGGACTTGGGAATGGGGGGGGGTGCTTAGGGTATTTGGCGGGTGCTGATTGGTGGTTCAGTGCTCAGGAATGTCTGGCTGGAGTTTATGTCTGTCCATCAGTTGGAGGAAGGGAGGATCTATCACCCCTCACCCCCCCTGCTTCTTGTGAAACCAGCGAGGTGACAGGGCACAGCCTCTTCACAAAGGAACCGGGAAGACTTTCGAGGATTGGAATATAAGAGCCTCAGGAAGTGATGAGCGCCAGGTAAATGCCAGGACTGGGTCCTGCGGTCTTCATTGTGTTTTTTACATCGTATTGAATCCAATGCAGCAGTTCCCACGGTGGACCATGCCCAGGGCAGCCAGCCTCCTGTGGTCAGGACTCCAACTCTGGAGCCAATGGCAGGGACTTGATAGCTAGTCTTGACGTTCACTTGCTGTGTGTCTTGGGCAAATGACTCCCCCTCTCTGAGCCTCATTTCTTCATTTGCAAATAGGAATAATAATAACAATGCTTGTCCCATAAGGTTGTTGGGAGCAGTGAGTGCATCCATATAGAGAGAGCATGGCTGAGGGGACCACAGCTGGCCTGCTATCTTCTCTGCGAGGCAATGTAATGTAAAGGCCTCTGGCTTTCGGTTCCTGGCTCTACTACTCACTTGCTCTGTGTCATGGGGCCAGTTCCCTACCCTCTCTGTGCCTGTGTCCTCAGCTGTAACACAGAGCTAATAATAGTACTTAACTCCCAGAAAGTAAATGAGAGGCTAGGTGAGTTAATATCCAGCATCCCACACAGGGTTCCACGATCTTTGTTAGCTGTCATAATAATTGTATCAGACTTAATCCTCACGAACCCCCGACTGTGTTTATTTTATAGGCGAGGAAAAAATGGGCTCCAGGGTGGAAGCCTGACTTTGTCTCAGGGCCAGCAGGGCTAACAGAGTGTGGTAGTGGGAAGCAGGGGGGAGGGGAGGGAAGAGAAGGGTGGGAGTCCCAGCTCTGCCCCGAGGCGGGCCATTCATGAGCTCTCTCCCTGAGGGTCATTCCCAGGCTCTGGACTTCTTTCCTCGTATCTTCCTCCTGCAGCTGCCACGTCTTTTTCCTGTTTTTCTATTCCCACACTGTCAGCCTGAGCGATAGCACCTGGGTCTCGGGTCACTTCATTTCTAGTTCCCATCCTTCACCCCTATATTTGAGTTAGCATCCCAGACTGCGGGCCTGGTTTCAAATCCCAGCTCTGCTACTTACTAGCTGTGTGGCCTTGAGGGAGTGCCTTAGCCTCTCTGAAATCAGTTTCCTCCCATGTGAAGTAGAAGTGGTTCTAAGTACCTGCCTCAAAATGTCTTTGCAAGGATGGAATGAATGGGTGTGTGTGGTCAAGTTCTGAGAACACAGCCTGGCCCCTAGGAAGTGCCGCGAATGTGGTGGGTGTTCCTGCTGTTTGTGTTGTCATTGCTGTGGCCACAGCTGCTGTTTTCCCAGTCCCAGAAGGAGATCCCAGTTCCCCCAAAGGCAGGTTTTCTGCCACGTGACCCAACACCAGGGCGCCTTCCGCAGCCAGAACCTGTGGTCAGGGTGTGAGTTACTTCTCAACTCCTTATTCAACTTGGTTAGCCACAGCTGGGCTGGGCATGCAGGGTGGCAATGCCAGGGTTAAAGGCAGGGGGTGCCCATTCCAAGCTTAGCCAGGCGGTGTTTAGTTGGAACTCCATTCTACCCCAGTCCTTCTGAAGCAGCGAGGGGAGCCTCAGGGGTGTTGGGGTGGCCACAGGGCACATTCCGTGACACTGGACATGACTCAAGTGGAAATAGTGGGTCTCTAGGCGGGTCATGCTACATGGTCACTGGCTCCGCAGAGTCCAGGCTGCGGGGGCAGAGTTGGCTCAGGCCAAGAAAACAGCTTTCAGAAGGCTTTTGGCTCAGCTGTGTCCAGGGCGTCAGTGGGGGAGGCAGAGAGCCAGGTAAGGGAAAAGGAGGCAAGAGAAGAGTGGGAGACAGGTGATGGTGCTGATTAATGCCAGCCCCCTGGGCAAATGCCAGTCTGTCACAGGAGGTGAGGGGATCCTGCCTCCGGGAGGTGGGTTCTGAGGCTGACAGGTGACCTGTGAGTGCTGGGCGGGGAGAGGGAATGGGGAGGGGAGGAGGCTGGGGCAAGGGTTGCATCAGGTCAGTGGACCCCACAGGCTTCTGGGAAGGGAGGGTTTAGGTTACATTTGAAAGGATAAGAGTTTTAAATGGTAAGGAAGCCAGCAAAAATGCCTGACCAACTAGAATTGATCTCCAGTGTTTTTCTTGGTTTTTCTTTTGAAAGCTGGCATGGCCTCTTGGGGTCATGTGTGATCCTGTTTATTTGTTCACTGGTCTCAAGCACTGTGGCCAGCACGCTCAGCATGGATGTCTGTGACTGAGAGGGGACCTACACGTGAGACTGTCCTCAAGAGCTCTTGACTCAGGCGGTGGGCAGCTTGGCACAGATGTGGAAGGGGGAAGAGGAAAGGGGATGGGAGACACAGGCAGGGGGACAGACAGACAGATAGTCAGGGTTTGCTCAAGCTCCACGGAGTCCTGAAAAGGGTTGTGCCAGTAAAGGTTTAATGATCAGCTCTCTTATGGGTAGGGGGCACACACGGGGGCGGGGGCTCCTATTTGTAGCACTTGCCATGTTATAGACATCCCCACCAGGACCAATTTCCAGCTACCAGCTTCACTGAGTGCAGATCGGTTAACTCCGTTACTGTGGGTGGAATGTGTGTGTGTGTGTGTGTGTGTGTGTGTGTGTGTGTCCCCCCCCCCCCCCCCCCCCCGCCTCCCGGACGCCTCAGAGCTGGCTCCGGGTCACGAATGACTTTGAATCTTCTCTGCCACTCGTTGCTAAGGCGAGAAGTCCCACGGCCAGAGGCTCATGTTTCAAATCCAAGTTTGGTCCATGTGGAAAGGGGAGCTGGGGAGAAAGTCAACCGATCTACCTGTGTCCTTCGGGTCATCCGATCTTGGCTCCATCATCGACGGAGGCAAAGCCGGGGACACCTGGGCTTCACCTCTCTGAGCCTCAAGTTTCTTCCTCTGGAAAATGGGAGTCATAACAGTACTGCTTCCCAGAACTATGGCGAGGATTATCTGAGGAACTGCGCGTGAGGGTGCAGCTCACAGAAGGAGCTCAGCTAGCATGGCTGCCTTCCTGTCCAGATGGGTGGAGACCATCCTCTCCCTCATCGCTTCACACGAGACTCCTCTGAGAGGCCTTGAGGTCCTCAGAAGGAGGCCTGCTCTCCAGCCAGACATTCTTGCTATGTCAAAGCTGGAGCCAGCCCAGGCAGCAGCCTCAGGAAGTCGCTATAGCTAGAGATAAGCTATGGTTTGCCTCTGTGCCTTGGGCTTCACTGCAGGGGGAGCTCGGCTGACCTTGTCCTTGCTACCTTCTTTTTAAAAGCCCCACTCTCTAGCCTGTATAGAGTTCCCTGGGTTCCCCTAAAGTTCCACTACAGAGCTTTATCCGGGATTGCCTTCCTACCTGCTGATTCATATGAGGATGTGAATAACTGATGCCCCCCCCCCCCCATTCATTCCTCTTAAGGTGTCGCTGGATAAACTGAATGAACTCAGGCAATAAGGAAATGTGAAAGCCAAAAGGGAAGAACCAGAACGGGGCTGGATGGACAGTTAGGGGTGAGGTAACAGGGACCTGAAGGGCAGCCAGGAGCATGGGGTTCATGGCTCAGTCCGGACACTGACTGCTCATTGTATGCTTTGCACAAGTCTCTCCCCTCCTTCGAGCCTCAGTTTCCCCACCTATAAGTTGAAGGAGGTGGACGGGGTTCACTCTTCCTCCCTCTGTCTGAGATTCTGAGGGCACAAAAGGTCACAGGAAGTATAGCACCTACTGCCACCGCACCAAAACCCACAAAACCAGTGGCTTGAAACAACACAAAATTGTCATTTTCATGTTCTGGAGGTCAGAAGTCTAAAATGAGTCAACAAAGAGAAAGAAAAAAGAAAACGGGTCAACAGGGCTGCATTCCTTGGAGGCTCCGGGAACAATCTGTGCGCTGCCTCTTCCAGCTTCCAGAGAACGCCTGCCCTCATTCCAACCGCTTCCCTCTCGCTGCTGTTTCCCTTGTCACCTCTCCTCCGACTCAGAGCTCCTGCCACCTGCTGAGGACCCTGTGATTACCTTGGATAACCTAGGATCCTCTCGGCATCTCAAGCTCCTTAACTTAATCACTTCTGAGAAATCCTTTTGATATAGAAAGTAACATAGTCACAGGTTGCAGGGATCAGGAGGTGGATATCTTTGGGAGGCGGACCTTAGGGAAGCTGTGTTTTGCAAGGAGGCTCAATGAAGCCTTGGGGATATCAATGGTGGAGTCTACAGAGGCCAGACCAGCCAGTAAGAGCAATGTTCTGGGCAACCAAGCCCTCCTGAGCCCAGATCCCACCTCTCAGGTGGCTCCTTTCAGTAAGCTGGACAGGTCAGGTGGTTGGGACCAGAACGATGGGTCGAGGGACAAGGCACTATGTCCAGGATTCAGATGCAGCTCAGCCAGTGCCTTCCTCCGAGGTGGTGAAAAGGTTGCTTTGCTTGTGGGTTAAATGGTGCTGGCAGTTCCTTCCTGGAGTGAGTGCCTTACAGGACTGCCACAGTGGGTATGAAGGTGCCTGGCCATTTCCCATGTGTACCTGGGGCGGGTGGTTGCTGCTGTTGATGAAAGTGGTGGGAGGGGCTGGCTGGTGGCCTCAGAGAGCCAGAGGACCTGGAAAGACTCCCAGAGTGGACGATAAGGAGGCCGAGAGGAAAGGGAACAGAGTGTTCCAGCAGGTATGGGCCAGCCTAGGGCCTGCTCATCCTGACATCTGGCTTTGATCAAAGCAATGTCAGACTTTGTTGTTTGTCAAAGCAAAAGCCAAGGACTCTGAGAAATCATGTCAGGACCAAGTTCAGTGATGAGAGAGCAGAACTGCTGGTGTTTAGTTAGTGGCAGCTCCTGACTAATGAATTCCAATCAGGCCCCATGCAGAAGAGCACCTCCCCTCCCAGCCCCACAGCTCACAGACTCCCAGCGCCAGCCACGAGCTGGGGGTGTGCTTGCTGCTGCCCAGGAAAGGGAGGGGCTCGGGGGACAGGAGACCCCAGAGGCACAGGAGCTGAATGGAGGACCAGGAAAGGAAGGCATAGGGCCATGTTCCTGAGGCCAGTCAGGAGCAGAGCCCTCGATACACACCCTGTTGCCACTCTTGAGCTCCTGGCGTGGCAACAGGGTGTGTATGTGATTTTCTCAGCATCTGGCCCAGATGCCATGTAAATAGAATCCCAAGGGTGGGACAAGGAGTAGGTGGACACCAGACCTTCCCTGGGAGAGGCTCGGCCTCAGCAGCATCGGATATTTCCATCAGCTATGAAATCACAGCTCCAAAGAAACTAGAAGGGTCTGCTGAGGATGTGAGTCAATATCTGTGTCAAGATTCTACCTGGAAAAGTAAAATAGACAAAACTTATATTAGAAAGAACTGGGGGAAATGTTTACAATCTATAGTAATAAAAGCGTAATATGCAAATCGACCAAACGGCAGAACAGCAAAACGATCATCAGGACCACACTATGACACCCACTGGCACCAGGCCAGCCAAGGTGGGTGTGATGTGATTAGTCAGGGGCCTGGCCCTCGCTTCATGGTAGCTATGCAGAGGGAGGTCCAGGCCACTGGCCGGCAGAGCATCAATCAGGGGACTCCATAATTGCCCCAAAGAGGGAGGCCCAGACAACTGACCAGCACATTAATCACAGAGCCCCACCAGGTGGGAAGGGCCTAACTCTTTGGGGCGATTGAGCTCAGGGTTCCCAGGCTGTGAGAAGGTGCAGGCCAGGCTGAGGGACACCCCTTTCCCATAGTGCACAAATTTCCTGACCCAGGCCTCTAGTATATATATAAAAAGCTAAAATTCTTATTAATATAAAACCTTCTACAAAATGAGAATCCCACTCATTAAAACAATAATTCATTCACACAAGTAATAAAGCTGTCATTGAACATATTAAAAAGTTTGGCTCAGTGGATAGAGGATCAGCTTGCAAACTGAAGGGTCTCAGGTTCTATTCCAGTCAAGGACATGTACCTTGGTTGCAGGCACATTCCCAGTAGGGGATGTGCAGGAGGCAGCTGATTGACGTTTCTCTCTCATTGATGTTTCTAACTCTTCATCTCCCTTCCTCTCTGTAAAAAAAATCAATAAAATATGTATATTTTAAAAAGTACAATCTCCTTTGAATCAAAGAATAAACACTAATATGCAGAGGAACATGTAGGGGTGGCTTGTGTTCCTCTTTGTGGCCCGTGATCATGGGCAGCATCCAGGCTCCACTCTGGTGGCTGTGCAGGGTTGTCTGTTTGGGCCATACCTCCCTCCTCATCTCCTTCCCCTCTCCTTCCCAACCCTCTCCCTGTGGTGAACAATCTAGCACATTGGACATAACGTTTCTGTTCTGGAACACAGAACAAGATGGAACCTAATCTTGCTTCATGACAGTCTCTCATCACTGCTTCGTGTGAGACTCTCCAGAGAGAACTTGACCATGTATCTGGCTTCTTCTGCCTAGGCAGCTGCCAATCATTCTCTGACATTCCCTTTCATCTCTTGGAACTCATGTGTGTGTGTGTGTGTGTGTGTGTGTAGTGCATTTATATTTTATTAAAATAATAGCATACCTATATTTGTATGGGACTTGGAGGTAGTGGACATATTCCAAAGGTAGTAGAATGGTGGTGAGGGGGTGAGGAAGGAATCTGGGATATCCCTAATGTTTCAGTTTTAGGTGACTGAGTAGTTGGTGGTGCCATTCAGTTAGGTAGACAAAGGAGAGGAGAAATAGCTGGTAGGAAGGTGATTGACTCAGTTCTGGGTGAGGCAATAATTTAAACTAATATTTATTGAGTGCCTGCTATGTTCTGGGCACTCTTTATAGGGCTTGAAGTGCTTCACATGAATTATCACATTTAAGCCTCAAAAGAACTCCATGAGTAGGCCCTATTAATTATCAAGATCACTTTAAAGATGAGACTGAGGGATGGAAAAGTTTAGTAGTTTCTATCAACATGGTGGATCACTCCTTTCTACTACAAATCTGAAAATACTGGATAAAATATATTAAAATATTAAATATAAAAGAAAATATTGATATAAAGCCATACCTATAAATAAAATACTGTAAACAAAAGCAAGGGGCACCCTCAGGTGATGGAGATAAAAAAGGTTCAAAGCCAGAGTGGGCACACTAGACTTTTATAGATAAAATAAGCCCACTGAACAGAAGCTCTCATTCAAAAAAAAAAAAAAATATATATATAAGCCCCATGAAGAAGAATAATGATAAGCCACACACGAGGAAGAGTATGGAGACAGAATCAATAGATGAACTGGTAGCCCTAAATAAGGAAGAAAAATAAGAAAGACAGTACCAGTCTTTTTAAATGACGAGGGAGAAAATAAAGAATAGAACCGTAAGGAAAGAAGTGAATACCTACCCAAGGTGACATCACTATTCATTGTAGACTCGGGCTCCCACACCTATGCTCATGCTTGCTCCGCTACAGACACTGATGTAGACGTGAAGGGTCCATTGGACAGTAGAAACTGGGTTTGAAGAGAGGGAGGGATTGCCTGCCTTCATCTTACTTCTCGCACACTACTCTCTGGTCTGCAGCGCTCCAGGACAGGATGTATCCTCCCGACATGGCCACTTCCCCTCAGCCACTCACCACTAAGGTCGCCGGTTCTGAGAACAGCAGCGACTTCTATGACTATGAGTACTACTTGGACAACGTGGCCTTCACGCCCTGCATGAAGCACGAGGTGCTGGCCTTTGGCAAAGTCTTCCTGCCGGTCTTCTACAGCCTGGTCTTTGTGCTGGGCTTGAGCGGGAACCTCCTCCTCCTAGTGGTCTTGCTCCGATACGTGCCTCGCAGGAGGATGACGGAAGTCTACCTGCTGAATCTGGCCATCTCCAACCTCCTGTTTGTGGTGACCCTGCCCTTCTGGATCATCACCGTGGCCTGGCATTGGGTCTTCGGCAATTTCTTGTGCAAGATGGTGAGCACTCTCTATACCATCAACCTCTACAGTGGCATCTTCTTCATTAGCTGCATGAGCCTGGACAAGTACCTGCAGATCGTCCACGCTCAGCCCCACCACAAGCTGAGGACCCGGGCCAAGCGCTGGCTCCTCGCTGTCATAGTGTGGGCTGTGGCCCTGGCTGTCTCCATCCCTGACATGGTCTTTGTGCGGACCCACCAAAACCATGAGGGGGTGTGGAACTGCTATGCGGATTTCGGGGGACATGGGACCATCTGGAAGCTCATACTCCGCTTCCAGCAGAACATCTTGGGGTTTATCCTTCCACTCTTCGCCATGATCTTCTTCTACTCCCGCATCGGCTCTGCCCTGGTCAGGCTGAGGCCCCCAGGCCAGGGCCGGGCTCTGAAGGTAGCCATTGCCCTCGTGGTGGCCTTCTTCGTGCTCTGGTTCCCGTACAACCTCATCTTGTTCCTGCACTCGCTCATGGACCTGAAAGTCTTTGGGGACTGCAAGACCAGCAATTACCTGGATTATGCGCTGCAGGTCACAGAGAGCATCGCCTTCCTTCACTGCTGCGTCACACCCGTCCTCTACGCCTTCTCCATCCACTGCTTCTGCCAGTACCTAAAGGCTTTCTTGGCCGAGTTGTTTGGACGGCGCCAGGGACCATGCCCTGTCCAGGCCCCACTGTCCAGCTGTTGTGAGAGTAGCAGCCTCACCGTCCAAGAAATGACCAGCATGAAAGACCTGGAGGAGGGGCAGTCTGAGGACTCCCCCAACAAGGGGGCTCTCGGGGAATATAAAGCCTCAGCGGCCATGCCACAGTCTGGTGAGAGCGGAGGGGACCTGACTCAGCTGGGCGTCCACCCAGCGTCTTCTCTCCAAGGGCCCCAGTGACCATGTTGCTCAGCCCAGAGCTGAGTCCTCAGCCCTCAGCCCTCAGCAGCACCTGCTCACTCCTTCCAGGACATCATACTCCCTGATCTGCTTCAGCGGTCGCCGAACTGACCTCTGTGTCCTGTTGTCACCTTCTCCGATCATCTACTCTGCACCCAGCAGCCAGAGCGATTGCAACATCTTCAGCCTTCACTGCCATCTCCCTCCCAGAAGCCTGAGGCCACCCACCCACCAAGCTGCTCCTGGTCCTCTAGTTCAGCTGGGGAGATTCTGGTGTTGTTTTGTTTTATGTTGCAACCTTGGTGGTGGCTCTGGAGCCTGGCAGTCCAGAGGCTCTGGGGATGTAGCACCTGGGGACCTGCTAAGGGGGAAAGGCAAGCGTGGCTCAGTCCAGGAGCAGTCTGCCCACCCTCCAGCCTGGGAAGTGTGGCGAGGGCATTCGCAGCAGTTACTACCTAGGAAAACATCTCTTTTCTTCCCGGGGTGTCAGGAATTGCACCATTGGCACGTCATTCCTGACTGGCTTTGTTATAGGCTTTCCTCAGAGAAGACACAGAGTGGGCTTTTCTCTGAGGGAGAGAAAAAGTGGTGCAGGGATGAGAACTGCTGGGTCAGGACAGGTCTCAGTCTTCCTACTGCCTCAAGCCTCTGTGAGGAAAAAAGGGGGGCCCTTGGAGAGGGTGTCTCCAGCAGCCCTCATGGGGCCAGTGGTGGGCATTGGCCTGTAAGTGCATTCTCTAACTCTGGGAACTCACGGCTTCCTGGGAGGCCTGTTGTTATGTGGATATCCTTGGCTGTGGGATAGGACACTTGTACTTACTTCATACCCAACCACCGAGGCTTCCCTCGGTCTCAGACCCTCAGACAGGTCACAGGATCCATGAGGTTCAATCTCAGTTGGGACTCTGGGCTCTGACTCAGTGGACCGGAGCCCTCAGCTCTTCCCCAGCTTGTCCATAGGCCAGGCTCCTGGCCCGTGGTCCTTTGGGTGTGTGTGTGTGGGGGGGGGGATAGACGGGATGCAGCACCCAGGGCAGGGCAGGATCAAGGAGGTATGTGAAGGCCCTTCCACTTTGCTTCATTCCACACCTGTGCTGGCAAGAGGCCTGGCTATGTGGGCAGGTTGTTGGGGACCTCCCCATGATCAGCCCCCAGCCTCTCAGCCCCTTTCTCCCTCTCCTGTGCACCCTATATAACTCTAGATATATGCTGGCCCCTCATGAAATAGGATGGGATGTCTCATCTTCTCCTAATGCATTTATATGGGATGTCAGGCTCAGCATTTAGGGGCAGTTAGACCCAGATAAAGGCAGGCCCTGACCCAGAGTCACATAGCTGGTGGGGACAGACTCCTGATAGTCTATTATCTGGGCAAAACTCAGGGCAGAACAGGCAACCTCAACAGGAAGGAAGAGGTGTTGGGGAGGAGTAGCAGAGAGAAGCCCCACTGGGCAGTCCTTGCAGGGGGTCCATGCTTCTGGGGCCTCCCTCCTCCAGGACCCTACACCAGTTCCATGATCACAGCCCCAGCCAGGCCCTGCCATCAGCCAGCTTCCCCTCCCCTTCCCCCACTCCTGGTAAGCATGCCTGGCAACAGGGACTGTCTCTAGTTCATATGCCAGAAATCTAAGTGAGGGCATTGAGGGAAGGAAGTGATTTGAGGACGTGAAGTAAATTAGCTGAGACTGGAAGTCAGGTTTCTATAATTTAATCCACATCTGGGGAATTGGGGGGGTCAGGGATGAGGAATACGATACCAAACCCCATGGGCTCCAGTGTGGGGAGGGGACAGGAGGAGAAATCCCGGACAGATAGCAAGGACACATAACAGATGTGCGGTGATGCAAACAGTACTAGAGGAGCCCCGTAGCTGGAGGTCAGAGGATGGGATGGGGACATAAGAAGGCTTCCAGGAGTAGCTGGCACTGGGGTTGGCAGGACAAGCAAGCAGCTGTGCTTCCTAGACCCAGAGAGTTCCACTAGGGAAAGCTGGTGACGTTGAATTGCGCGGGATGGACAATTTGGAGACCAACTGAGGCAAAACTTAAATACCAGGTGTGGGAAGGGAATGGGGAACCAGAAAATAAAATAGTGACAATTAGAGATGCTTTTAGAAAAAGGTCTCTGGCAGCAGAGTGAGCAGAGGGCCTGGCAGGCCGGGCATGGAGAGAAATGCTTGAATCACTTCTACATGAAGTCAGCATTTCTCTACTGGCTGTCCCTGTCTGGTGACCACCACCCACACATGGCTGTGGGAGCCCTTGGAATGGGGCTGGCTTGAACTGAGACGTGTTGGAAGAGTAAAAAGTGCATACCAGGTTTTTTACATACAATACAATATACAGATGATGTTTTATAGAATTGTATTTCTGAAACCTATGTATTTTATTAACCAATGTCCCCCCCTAAAGTTCAATTTTTTAAAAGGTACATACCAGGGGGAAAAAAAGTACATACCAGATATGGAAGACAATACCAAAAATAAATCTAGATATATTCTTTATATTAATTACATGTTGAAATGCTAATATTTTGGATATACTAATATGGGGATAAGTACAATCTTATATAATAAAGAGGTAATATGCAAATTGATCATCATTCCAACACACAAGATGGCCACCTCCATGTGGACACAAGATGGCCACAAGATGGCCGGCAGGGGAGGGCAGTTGTAGATGATCAGGCCAGCAGGGGAGGGCAGTAGGGATAGAACCAGGCCTGCAGGGGATGGCAGTTAGGGGCAATCAGGCTGGCAGGGGAGCAGTTAGGGGGTGATCAGACTGGCAGGCATAAATGGTTAGGGGCAATCAGGAAGGCAGGCATGCAAGCAGTTGGGAGCCAGCAGTCCTGAACTGTGAGAGGGATGTTCGACCACCCATTTAGGCCAGATTCCACTGAGGTTCATCCCTTCAGGAGTTCCAGATTGGAGAGGGTGCCAGCTGGGCTGAGGGACACCCCCCTCCTGAACACAAATTTTGTGCACTGGGCCTCTAGTATATCATAAAAACAAATTTCACTTGCTTCCTTTATTTTTTTATTTGTTATTTTTTATTTAAATTCTTTATTGTTTAAAGTATTACATGAGTCTCCTTTCCCCCCCATTGACCTCTCCCAGGCCACTCTCAAACCCCAGCACATGCCCTCACCTCCCTAATGTCTGTGTCCATTGGTTATGCTCATATGCATGCATACAGGTCCTTTGGTTGATCTTTTACCCCTTCACCCCTTCTTTTATTTTTTAAAAATATATCAACTAGGATATTAAAAATTACACTTGTGGCTTGCCTTGCATTGCTATTGGACAACATGGTTCTAGAATGTGAATTCCAGAAGACATGGAATAGTACTGGGGAGGGGGGGAATTAAGGTGGAAGAGGGGGAGATGTAGGTCACATTGGCAAGATGCTGAGCTCCTCGTGGGTACCAGCTTCTATCCCGCAGGACTGGTGGAGGCCTGTGTGAACTCCCAGGCATTTCCCTTCCTCTGGCCTTCCTGTGAAAGGAGGGCCTGCGGAGCCCACTGTGAGGGGGCTTGAGCAAGAGAATGATAAGCCTGTGAGATGACCAGAAGGAGACAAGAGAGCAAGGAGGATCACCAGGACAGAGATAGGGGTGCCAGGGAGCAGTAGTCAGGTGGGGGTCTTGGCTGCACAGGAGCAAGAGGAGGTGAAGACCCCCAGGGAGCCCCTCTGGTCAGGCTTGCACACACCCCCCCCCCCGGCAGAGCTCACTCAGGGGACCGCAGGCGGTATCGGAAGCGCACTTCATAGCTGGGCTGCATGGTGCCAAAGCCCCAGCGCTGGGGGTCCACGGGCGGCACTGGCGTGTCGGGGTCCACCAGCTCCAGGTCAAAGTGTGTGATCATGAGCAGAACAAAGAGCTTCATCTCGCTGAGGGCCAGGAACCTGCCGGGACACATGGAGACGCCCGAGCCCCAGGGCATGGTGTAGTGGCGGATCTTTTTGCCCGCCTTGTAGAAGTCCACCTTCCGGCTGCCATCGGGGTTGAGGAAGCGGTCGTACTTGAAGGCAGTGGGCTCGGGGTGGATGTCCGGGTCCATGTGCACTGAGAGGTAAGGGAAGAGGGCCACGATGTCTCCGTTGCGGAGCCGGTACTCCTCCCCGCTGGCCATCGTCAGGACGTGGTCATCGTGCACCACTCTGAGCAGGGTGGGCGCTGCCCCCAGCCGCAGCGTCTCCTCCATCACGCTGTCCAGCACCGGGGTGCGCTGCAGGACGCTGACGTCCAAGTTGAAAGACTGCTGGGCCTCCCCCAGGACCCGGGCGGCCTCCTCTCTCAAAGCCTGCATGGCTTCTGGGTGCTTCAGGAGGAACAAGAGGGCCCAGAAAGAGGTAGGCCCCGTGTTCCCCTGCGAGGCCCACAGCATCATGAAGTTGAACTTGTCCTGCATGGCCGGGGCTACCCCTTGCTCCCTCAGAAACTGAAGCATGTAGGCTATCCAGTTGCTCACGCCATCCTTCTCCAGGTTTTCTTTCACCGAGAGAGTCTTGTGGAAGAGCCGCTGGAGCCGGCCCACCTCCAGCCACTCCCGGGGCCCCAGCAAGGAGTACACAAACCTGGGGAACAGGCGGTCGAACTTCCGGAACTCCGTAAACAGCTCCTCCGCCTGGAGAAGGTCCCGCTCCGAGTCCTTCGTGTAGCCAAACAAGCTCAGGTAGCCGGCCTTGAACAAGACGTTGTAGCAGAAGTGAAAGAGGCCATCCTCACGCCAGCTGCTGGCATCCGGGCTCGGGCCCTTCGGCCCCAGGATCACCAAGGACAGGCAGTCCCGCATGGTCTTGTTGAGGTCCTCCAAGCCGTGGCCCATGAGGTGCTTGGTGCTGGCGGTGTGTATCATCCGGTGGTCGCCCGGGACGGACTGGTATCCGAATACCTTGAGCACCAGCTTCTCCGCATACTCCACAAAGTCCAGTTTCCTCTTCACGTCCTTGAGGATGGGGCTGAAGGAGAGGGGGTCCATGACGAAGGTGAAGTACTGGCCCCCCAGCTGCACCGTGAACACGTCCCCGTGCTTGGCCCGCATGCGCTTCAGGAACTCAGGCATATTCTTCCGGAAAGCCATGGCATGGCCCAGCCAGGGCACAGGGCCCTTGTCCAGAGGGGGCTCCTGAGGCCTGCGCTGCCGGAGCAGCCCCAGCAGGCACAGGTACCCTACCACGACCAGCAGCAGGGCTCCCAGCAGCGGACCCCAGAGCACCATGGCTGTGCTCTTCCAGGTTAAACTCTGGACAGACTGACCAGAGAGCTTCTGGCAGGCCTTGACAAGCTGGGGACGGAGAGGCCTGCCCACTTGGACCTTGTCCTATGGTTGCAAATTACAGTAAACGAGCCTGGGGATACAGTCTGAGGAAGTGAAATTAGCACTTGCTAGAGAGCCTGGTTATGTGAGGGAGGAAGGGGTGGGACCAGGAGGAAGTCTGTAGCTTAGGGTCACAGCCCTTTACCAGCTCCAGCTGCATCATCTCTACAAAGCCTTCCTTGCCTCTGCTCCCACCTCCATGATCTCTGACCACTCACCCCTTTATTTACTCAGGTGCAGTGATGCATTAATTGGCTGTCTCGTTCATCAGAAATGTACCGAGCAATAACCAAGTTTCACATCCACCCCTTCCTTATCTGATGTCAGTCTCTGAGCCTCTGGTCTAGGGGTCTGGCCCTGGCCCAGCTGCTTTGCATACTTGTCTAGCAAGGACACACTGGGAATCTTCAGAGATTATGAAATTTGTTTACGGAAGTTGGGCTCTTGACAACTGGCCCATGTCACATATATCGTTGTTAACCTAAAAATAAGCCAAAGTGAGAGGCAGCCAGTGTTTATTTAAGATCAGGCAGAACCAGATGATAGGGGCCTCTGTGAGGTGTCAGGTCAGGTCCCTGCCAGCAGGCCCCAGAAGGAGAAAGCTGTCCCGTTCATCCGGTGGTTGCCTGGTATGGACTGGTATCCATATCAGTCAAGCAGCCCAGCCCATTGTTGTGATTGGTGAAGTTCAGACTCAATCCAACCACTTCTGATCACCCCCGAATGACTCTGATTTCCTAAATGACCTGCAAACAGGGACTCTGTCTCCTCAGATAACCACAGGATTGCTACATGCCCTCCTGAGTGAGTTCCCTTTGCGTGTGCAGGTCCATTCCACAGGAGCTGGAAACTTCCCTGCTCTTCCTCCGTGCGTAGGGCACAGCAGGAACTCAGCACCATTAACTCCCTCCAGCCTTAGAATCTAGCTGGCAAATTGTGGGTCAACTCCAATGAGCTGAACTTAGTCCCCCAGTTGTTGTTTTTTAATATATTTTATTGATTTTTTTTACAGAGAGGAGGGAAGAGGGACAAAGAGAAAGGAAGAGAAACATCAATGAGAGAGAAACATCGATCAGCTGCCTCCTGCACACCTCCTACTGGGGATGTGCCCACAACCAAGGTATGTGCCCCTGATCGGAATAGAACCTGGGACCTCTCAGTCCGCAGGCTGATGCTCCATCCACTGAGCCAAACCAGCTTCAGCGTCCCTCAGTTTTTAATGGGTGGCGGTACCACCTTACATTCATTCTCACCTTCACTCATTCACTCACATCTACTCATCCATTCATTCCCTCCTTCCTTGGAACAGCCCCATCTATCCTTTCAACAGATATTTACTGGTCATTTAACTTCCAGAAATGTTTCTACAACCTGAATGAGACAGACATAGTCCCTGCCCTCATGGAATTTATGGTCTAAGGGGAAATATATGAAATCATTGCCCACAGAAGTATATCATTACAATTGTCTTAAGTAAGACAGAAGAGCAGAGCAGAGTGGGAAGGGACGTGGGGAGTCGGGAAGGCTACACTAATCTGGTGGTAATTAAATGAAGGCCTGGAGGATGCCAAGGCCAGGTGTGTTGGGTAGTGGTGGTGCCAGAGATGGAGATAAAGGTGTGTGGGGTGTGCAGCTCAAAGCATATATCAGGGTTGTCCTAAGGTACAGATGGGGTGCACACCTACTCTGGGCCAATGTGGCTGCAGAGCTGAGGGGAAGAGCCTCCAGCAGGGTGTGGCTCCCTAGGCTCAGTTTGGATTCGTGCTTTCAGTGACCCTCTGCATTGAACCCTTTCTCACCAGCCACAGGCTGCCTGGATCTGTGGTAGGCCCGTTAGACAGGCATGAGCAGAGCAAGGACCGTGGGCCAAGTACAGAAGGTCACCAGGTGGAAAGCCTCAGGTGCCTAGCAACAGACAGTTGTAGGTTGGGATCTCATCCCCAAGGTGACCTCGCCTTCCCTAGCACATCACTGGCTTGTCTTGTGGGCTGGACCTCCCTGACTTTCTCTCCCTACAGATACCATCTAGGCCTCAGTTGTACTAGTATTTCAGCTCCAGGCCCAGAAAAGCAGCAAAACCAGACACCCGACACCAAGACTGACCTCAGGAAATAACGACCCCCTGCCCTGGTGCCCACCCATCAATCAGTGGTGATCAGAACCCTGAGAGGACACAGCTGGAAAGCTGCTGAATATTCTATTGAGATCTTGCCCTGGGGCCTCCCCTAAAATCTCCATCCTTGAAACTCAGAGGAAGGAGAATCCAGTCTCTCCCTCCTGGGAGCATGCCTGCTTCCCCTCCCTCCCCCTTCCCTTCCAGGCCTGTCACCTCTACCTCCCTCACGTCTAAGCTCCAAGGGCCTTTCCTTTGCCTCTACAACTTGTTTCATAAGCCCATTTCTTCTACCAATTATTATACTTCTAACCCTGTGATCTTATAAATACATGTTCTCTTAGAGTTTGAGTCCTGGCTCTGAATTCTTTCCTAGCCAGAGCTCAAGTACTGAGGTTGCTGAGCCCAGGTCCCAGTCTGGCCCCACAGGTGCCCACCCCGCTGCCGCCAACAGATCTAGACTGAGGGGCGACCAGAGGGACCGGCAGGGATTCCTGGCTCTTCCGCTGGCAGAGGCCTCCCAGTTTCTCCGAGTTGACCGGGGCCAGCGGTCTAGACAGACCAGGGCATCCCAGACAGGTCCCTGAAGAGGGCCTCCCACTCTTCAGCGGCAGCTCTGCAGAACTTAGGGGCGGGCAGGATGGCATGAAAGGACCAACAAAACGCAGAGGCGGCCTCCGGGCGTGCTAGAGCGGCTGCGGGGATGGGGGTGAGGTTCCCCATAGCCGGAAAAGCGGCGATGCACTTCCGGCCCTGTAGTCTGCGCTTTGGTTTAGGGCTCCAAGCGCAGGGGCGCTCTCAGTCCGTCCCTGGGGGTGGGGTTTGCACCCAGTCGCTTTGGTCTGTCGTTTCGCCTGCAGAGCAGTCAGTGAGGCAGTGGGGCTGGTGATGTCAGAATTTCTGCTCGGGTCCGAGTTCGTTTTCTTGCAAAACTGAAGAATGAGTTCACGGACCGAGACGGTAAGCGGAAGCAGAGTTTATAGACAGACAGACAGACAGACAGACAGACAGACACACTCCCTGCCTGAGGAGGGAGCAGCAGGGAGGGGGCCCAGCCGGGCTGCCAATTAAGTTTCTTAGTCTAGGGGTAGACACATGCTCTGCTGGCTTCTGCTGGGTTCTTTCCAAGAATGTTCTGCCTTAGTAACACCCATGCGTTGTAAAGCTCACGTCTCCGTGCACCCTTGGTTCCTGCCCAGCTGGGGTGCCCATTTTTGGCGGAACAGGGGCGTGGTCAGCAAGCTGCATTCTACCCAGGTCTGCGATGTTCTCCTCCTCCACACACCGCTCCTGTGACCCCGCCCCGGACTGCCCAGCCCTCTTCTACCTCTGCACTGGGTTTGGAGAAGGACCAGCTGCAGGGGAGCCTCCTTCCCTCCCATCACCGTTTGGCCCAGATTCGGGGGAGTTCTCATAAGCCCCACGAGAGCATTGTCTCGGTGTCCTTCCGCATTTACCCAGAGATGGCCCAGGATTTTGAGCAGCTGGGCACCGACCAGAAGGTTCCGTTGATCTGTTGTGGTTACTATCTTGGGGTTCTCTGTGCGGTCTCTAGCCCGTGTGTACCGCCAATCCCCCAGTCTTTTTGTCCTTTGTTCCAATGCTAGACGATATTGACAGCTCCCCCCAATGCCTGCCACTTCCTGCCCACTGTCTCACCCCCAGAATGCAACAGCAGTCCCGTTGGAGTGGAGGTGCAAGGGAGAAATTATTTCACTCTGCCTTTAAATCGGGTAATAGTTTCATTTAAATTAGGGATGGGCTTGCTTATGGTTCCTTTGCCTTCCTGGTATTCAGGGGTTCTTTCCCGTCCTCCCCCCCCCCCCCCCCCTAGGAATGGAAGGGAACTCCTTTATGGCAGCTGGGCTCTTGACAAGACCTGCCCACGTCACATACCTGTATGGGTGTTAACCTAAAACTAAAAAGCCAAAGTGAGAGGCAGCCGGTGTTTACTTAACATCATAGAATAGCTATTCAGGAAGCACTGAGTCAGGCAGAAATCCAAAGAGTGTTCTGATTATGGGGTGAAGGGAAGGGGAGTAATTATGTGAATAGAAGAGACTGAATATACATATAGATAATGGCCAGACCATCTAGAAAAAGAGAACTCTGACCTACAACCTTAAGCAATCAGCCCAGAAGGTAATCCATTAACCAGTAACCAGTCCAAGTCTAACTACCATCTGTGTCAACGAGTGCAGGAAGCCACAATAATGCTTGTATCCCCCAAACAGCAAGCGTATTTGATTAAGCGTATTTGATTAATACGCTCCCCTAACCAATGACATACAATGTTTTGCTTCTAGCCAACCCTCATGCCAACAAGTCTCCACTCAGAACACACCTGAAGCCTTCTTTTTCCTACTAGAAAGCTTTCCCACTGCTCTGCCTACTTTTGAGTTTCTGCCAAATGCAGGTGACTATGGCCAACTCCCTTGTTATAATAAACTGAATAAATATGGTTTGCTTGTTCCCGTTTGGATGGTCTTCATTTATTTCCACAACTGTTTACGTTTCACTTCCCGACATGCCGTGTGCTGCTAGGTAAGCCATTTCCTCTCTTTGGACCTTATTTTCTTCAACTGGACATTTGAAAAAAATGTTCAACATTTATTTTACTCAACAAATACTCCTTGGCACTTTAAGATTCTGGGCCCTAAGAGGTGCTGGACACTGGGCGGATGTTAGAGGCACAAAGATGAACATATCCAGGAAGTCCTCTGTTCTCTAGGAATGTAAAAACAGTAAAGGAAGGGAGATAGAAGGCACGTAGTCAAGTGAAGTAAGT